TTGGGGGCTGGGTGGAGGGGGCTCCTGGCAGCAGAGACCTCACCCTGGAGCCCTGCTTCTGCTCACCCTGGTCCTTGAGGGGTGACTGGCCCTTCCATTAGCAGCAAGGCTGTGGCTGCTCGGCCGTTTTAGGATGTATTAAAAGTTGAATGCATACCCGAGGCCCAAGCTGGTTGGTGCCTCGCCCAGCCCCCAGGGGACCTGGCCCGCCCTGAGCTGGGCTGTGCTGAGAACCAGCCCCTCTACCCTCGAAGGGCCCACCTCCCTCCCTGGCCCCCTCAGAGGAGCAGAGCCAGAGCATTAACTGGGGTTGGGGATGGAAGTGAGCTTCTGCTCCCCATAACCAGAGCCTGCCCTGTCACTGAAAAGCCAAGGCAGGTGCTCTGCAGGCCTCGGTCCAAAGTGAGCCTCCCTCCCCGCCGACCCCCCCTCACCCTCTCTTAGCAGCCTTGACGGCTCAGTGTGTGCGCGCCGACTCACAGGGTACCTCGTCTCCCTCCGGGCCCCGGACCCCCGAGCACCTTGACTTTTAGGAGGTGTCCCTGTGGCCGGACTGGCTTCTCCCAGGATGGCGGGGGCAGCCCCCAGGATGGGCTTCGGCCTCTGCGCAGGGGAGGCAGGGAGGCAGGAGGGGGCCCTTTGTTCCTGGTGCGTCTGCCTCCCTCTGTGCCCGCTGCAGTGTACTAGCTGTGTGTTTGCTCAGGCCCGGGCCTCTTACTAGATTGGAAAAATTAAATCCTGCACAGTAATTGTATTTAATTTCAGTTACCTTGCCTCTCCTTCCCTTGCTGGTGGTGACCCTGCAGAAGTGAAACGCTGCATTCCTCTGCCAGAGGAGGCTCCCTGGGATCTGGGGGTGGGGGTTGGGCGGGTATGGGAGAATGAGGAGCAGCGGGGCTGGGGTCCTGGCAGGGCTTCTGAGGAAGTCTGGCAGGGAGCTGCAGACCTTGGAGCCGGGTCTGGGTGGGGTCCTGGGAAGGAGGCCCCTCCTCTTGGATGGCCCATCCTTCTCTGGCCCTCTGAGCCCCAAAGGGAAGTCCTTGGCGTGCTCCTGGTACCTGATAGAGCCCAGTGTGGCCGGCCGTGGCCTGGCCACACCCCGAGAATCCGTGCCCCACTTGCATGCTGCCTAGGCCCTCGGGCCCTGTGTGGGTGCATGTCTGCAGCTCTTGGGAGAAGAGACACCAACACACACACACACACACACACACACACACACACACACACACACTACCATGTTTTCTCATTCTGGGGGAGGTCTTGGAGTCTGTTTGGGGTGGGGACCCCCTGAGCTGGCACAGCTACAGGGGCTGGACTCTGGCTTTGGGGTTTCCCAAAGTGGGTTCCATTCTGAAGGGCATTATGAGGGGGGAGGGTTCCGTGGTGCAGTGGCTTTGAGGATGGCCAGAATGAATGGAGAGATCTCTGATGGTCCTCCTGGCTCTTCAGAACCTTCCAGACGCCACTGGGTTGGCGACTGTTGCTGTGGGGTGGGGGGAACCCAATGGGGGTTGCCCGGGAAGCCGGGAGATGGGGAAACTGAGGCATAGAAGGGGAAAGGTGTTCTTGTGGGCCTGGGCCCCGCCACACAGGGAAAGGTGAGGGGGTGTCCCTGCTGCCCCCAGCCCGCTCAGGTCCTGGGGCGCTCCTGTCTGGCCACCGTGCGAGGGTCTGTCGGCCCGAGGCCTGTCCTGTTTTCATGGCTCTGGGCATGTAAACCAAGCCTTTATTTTATTCTTTTCTCCTGAAGTCCAGCTTTGTTCGCGTCCTGGCCAAGGCTTCTAAGAAAGCAATCGAACCCCCCCTCCCCCGGCCCCGGGGCTCCCAGGGGCTGGGCTGTGGGGCAGCGGCGCCGCCCATGCAGGTGGCTTGAGGACACAGGGGCAACAGCCCGGCTGTCCCCTCTCCCCGGGGATCAGACGGCCTCATCACCTTCTAGGAGAATAATGGTCCCTCTCTGGGTGCGCAGCCTGGCCCGCAACCCTAGGGCGCAGGGGCTGGCCGAGACGGGCAGGGGAGGGGGGCGGAGGGAGACACCCACCTGACCACCGCCTCCCGTGCAGGTCACGGCAGGTAGGCGTCCTCGAGGTGCCGTTTACCAAGGCATCGTGCCAGGCTTGAGCCGAGTGCCTGACGAATGCCATTGCCCTCGACCCTGCGGTGACCGTCCAGGGTAAACCCGACCCCCCTTGACAGATGAGTATCCCAGATGTGGTGCCACCTGCTTGAGGCCACAGGACGTGGACACAAAGTAGTCGGGGCGGGGCTGGCGTGAGGTGGGGGGGGCGCGCTGGCCTGCTGGGACCCAGGATTCCGACCCAGCCGACCAGGCAGGGCCTGCTTTCTGAAGGGACGGGTTCTGAGGGCCTCACGCTGTCCCCTGCTCTCAGTTTGGGACCTGGCCACTTCCCTGCCCAGCCCCAGGCAGTTGGGGCCCTCTGGGAATTGGTGCCCAGTGCAGCGTTGCTGGTCTCTGCCCCCCCCCGCCGGCCTGGGCCCCCCCCCCCTCAGCGCCAGAGCCCTCGTCTGGCCCAGGGGAGCCTGCCTGGCTTTCTGGGAGACTCCTGGCAGTAGGTGCGGTGGGTCTGTGAAGGGGCCATTTGGGGGGCTCTTCTCCAATGCACTGTCACTGGCCAGCACAGCCCCACACTTGCGGCCCTCCCTGGCGTGCCCCAGCATTTGCCTAAATGCCCAGCCGGCATTGGGCAGACCCACCCTGCCCTTGTTCAGCTCAAGAGTGGCGCCTGGCAGGCTTCTCGGAGGAGGTGACAAAGAGGCAGAGTCCTGAAGTTGGCGGGTCTGTCCCAGGGAGTGCAGGTTGTGTGCACTGGGGCCTGGGGGCCAAGTCCTGCACCCAGGCCAAGGTTGGCCCTGCCCTCCCCTTCCCTCCCCAGCACAGTTCCACCAAACTTTGGCCTCTGTTTCCCCATTTTGGCCCTGCCTGTGCCCTAGTCTGCTTCCCTTTGTGGCTGCGTGGCATGTGGGGGCTGTGTCCCCTGCCCCCACCCCAAGGCTTCAGCCCCCTCATCTTGAGGGGGACTTCCACCACCATTGGACTTCCCCTGCGCCCCAAGAGAAGGAGACCATCCCCAGTCTGGGGGCCTGACAGGGCTTCCGGCAGGGGCTTCCCTGGGTCGGTCTTTCTGGATTTGGATAAAGGTGAGCTGGCAAGGCTGCCCCCCTCCTTGGAGCTGCTGCTCAGGGCAGCCTAGTGGCTGTCCCCCAGGCGACGGCTGACCGTGGCCCCAGGACCTTCCTAAGGGCAGTGGGGACCTGGCTGTGAGGGGCGTGTGGCCTGAAGCCCGTCTGCCTGCTGGACTTGCTTCATGCAGCTAGAGGTGAGGGAGGGCTGAGGTCTGGCCTCGCTGCATCACCGGGGCCCTGGGGGGCTGAGGGTCAGGCCCCTGAGTCCCCCGGCCGGCCCCTGCATCCTCAGAGCAGCGAGCGGGGACCAGTTCTGTCAACGCTGCACCCACAGAGTTTGTCATCTCCTGGAGGGTAGTTCTCAGCCCCCTGCAGGAGGCCCAGAGCCGCCCCTGGAGGAGCCCCTGCTGCTGGCCGCTGGGCGCTTCCCTACACCTGGGTTTCTTCCTGCTCCGTTCTTCCGCAGTGTTTTATCTGCTCTCGGAAGCTGAGCCGCCGTGGGAATGGGGAAGCGCCAGATGGCCCTTTCTTTCTTTCCGGATGCCACTTGCCGGTGGGAGGGCTGCTGCCTGGCCCCCCCAGGCCCTCCCTGCTCCAGCCACCAGGGTTAGTTGTCAGGGTGGTGGCCCACCTGTGCCGGGGGCTGCAGGGGACCGGACCTCTGACCCTGCCGGTCTGGACCCCCTGCCTCTCTCCAGGTGCCTAAGGTCTTCCCAGGGCCACAGTTGGTGGCAAGAGGGGAAACCGAGGCTGGGCGGGCCGTAGGCGGTGTGAGCCTGGAACAGGACAGGCAGCATGCACAGCACAGCCTCCCCTCCTGAGAGAGGCCCAGGGGCGGTAGGATGCAGTGGGCCCTGCGCGGCAGCCTGGCCTCCTTCGTACCGTCACCCTCACGGGTGGTGACTTTGCTGCCCGCCCGTGGGGATGGGTCCGTCGGGGCTGCTGGTTGCGTCCACCGGGGCCTGGCCCAGCTGCACGCACAGAGTTGTTCTTGACAAGCCCCGTGTCGGCGGTTGGGGGACAGGGTGACTTCCCTGGGCAAGTGGGATGGGGTGTGGGCTGTATGAGTTGGGCCTGACTGCTCCGGGGACCCAGGGAGAAGTGTGGAGGCCGAGTGGGGCGCTGCGGGGCCTCGGGCCTCCTCTCCCACTTCGTTCTCTTCACCCCCTTCCCGTCTTCTCATGCTGCTTTTCCCGTAGCCCCTCCTGCCCCCCCCCCCCGGGCTCCCCCCCCTCATGCGGCTGGTACCCTGCCCCCCCCCCCCCCTCGTCCCCCAGCCCCTCCCCCCGCGCCCCCCCCGCGCCCCGGCCCCCCCGCCTGCCCTGGAGGAGTTGGGTGGCTCTGCCAGCCCTGCAGACTGTTTGGAATAGTTTAAATGCTTTGACACTCGGGCTCTACTGGATGGCAGAGCGGCAGTTTACTGGGTAATTCACATGCAGAGCTGCACCATAAATCTCGGGCGCTCAGTTGCCGTGGCACCACGGAGCGTTTCCCCACGTACAGTACAGTATTTCTGCCATCTTTGTTTGCATTGCGGTGAGTCATCAAAGTCTGTCTTGTACCAACACCCGGAGCCGTGCATTCCTCTGGCACCGGCACTCCACTGTTTTTAAAGCTGGGGCTGGAGCTGGCATTTACTTGGGCTCCGAAATCAAAGGCGGCTATTCATTCCCGAGAGCTGCCTGAATGTCCGTCTGCATCCGGCCTCTTCATTTAGATGCTGTGCGCTGCCCCGGAGAGCCGGGCTGGGTGCAGCTGAGCTGCGGCCGCCGAGCCCAGCGCGGAGACTCTCTGCCCTCCTCCCCCTCCTCCTCCTCCTCTCCCCCCCGGCTCCTCGCGCCCTCCCCACCCCAAGGGCTCGCGCTCCGTTTGCTGCATTCCCGGAGCAGCCAGCGAGCCTGCCCCTGTCAGGCTGAGCGGGCAGTGCCGGGCCACCGGCAGCAGCCGCCAAAGGTAGGTCTCCCCTGCAGGCCGGTGCCACGGCCGGCCCGGCAACTTCTCTGCAGCGGGGGCACTGCGGGCCCTCCCCCAGCGGCCACCCATCTGCCCAACTCCTGTCGCCGGGGTCCAGGCGCTCCGCCCTCCCTCCGCCCTCCCTCCCCGGCCGCCCGGCGCCTCTGCGGCCGCCTGCACTTTCCTCCCGCGGGACAGAGCAGCCCTTTGTGCGGGCGCCGCTGTGCGGAGTTGGGCCGGCGCCTTCTCCGCCCGGCCGTCCCCAGCCCCCCCCCACCCCCCCGTGAACCGGGCATCGGATCAACCTCGCTGGAGCCCCGTCCCCCAGCCCCTAGGGCGCCCGGTGGCGGCAGAGGGAGCGGCATCCCGAGCCCTTGCTGGTCCCTCCCCCGTCTCCCCCTGACCCCTTTAGTCACCTGGGCTGGGACCGAGCCAGCAGGGATTGGCCAGCGTGGGGAGCTGGGGGACTGGGAGGGCGGGCAGGTGGGGCTGCGCCAGGCTCCCCGCTGCTGGTCCGGCCGGGTCCCTGCCCGTGGCCCCGGGAGCTCGTCCCGGGGGAGGGGCAGTGGGGCCGGCGCCCGACTTGGAGCTTCTGCTAACTTGGCTCACTGCCCTGGGCGCCCCCACCCCTGGCCATCCTCTCTCAGCCACTGGGTGGGACTCCCCCTGTGTGGGCCCTCCGTGCGGCTGGTGCCACAAGGGAAAAGAAGAAAAACCAGAAACCAAAAGACCCCCTTGCAAGACCCACTTGCTCGCTCTGGGTTCCGGCCCCCCCCAGGGGAAGGGCTGGGAGGGGCTCCTTTGCTGCTAACTTTTTCTTGGGGAGAAGAGTTTGCAGACACGGCCCGCCACCCTCACCCCTCCCAGCCGCCGCCACCCTCACCCCTGGCAGCCGCCGCGGGTGGCGGTGCCCTGTTCCGTGTTCTGTGCTCTGTCCTCTGTCCTCCCCGTCCTCCCGGAGTGCAGGCCTCCGTTTCTGTTCCTGGTGTCTGCTAAGACGGGGCGTCCCTGCCCGAGGGCTCCGGCGCTCTCCTGGGGGTGGGCTCTGGGAGCTGCACGAGGGGTTGGGGGCACGCCCCTGGCTGGAATGCGGCTGTGCAGCTCTGAGCCCAGCCGGGGTCCCGCCAGCCCCTGTGAGGAGCTTGGCCCCAGGGCCTCCCCTGGGCCCCTTGGCTGGAGGGGTTCCTGCTGGAGGGCCGGGCCGGGCCGGGGCGGGGGGGGGGGGGGGGGGCAGCGCGCGGAGGAGGGGCGAGGGGGGCACGGGCACGCTGGGGCGGAGCGCATTTGCATACCCTTGGTGGGTGGGCCCTGGCGTCTGGGGGCCTGACCAGGTGTCCCCATGCCCTCTCTCCCCACAGATGTGCCCCACTCGGGCGCTCCCGCGCTGAGTCTGAGGCCCGCCCTCTAGCGCCTGCCCGCCATGTCGCAGATGCTGCACATCGAGATCCCCAACTTCGGGAACACTGTGCTCGGCTGCCTCAATGAGCAGCGCCTGCTGGGCCTCTACTGTGATGTGTCCATTGTGGTCAAAGGCCAGGCTTTCAAGGCCCACCGGGCCGTCCTGGCCGCTAGCAGTCTGTACTTCCGCGACCTGTTCAGCGGCAACAGTAAGAGCGCCTTCGAGCTGCCGGGCACCGTGCCGCCCGCCTGCTTCCAGCAGATCCTGTCCTTCTGCTACACGGGCAGGCTGACCATGGCGGCCAGCGAGCAGCTCGTGGTCATGTACACGGCCGGCTTCCTGCAGATCCAGCACATTGTGGAGCGCGGCACAGACCTCATGTTCAAGGTGAGCTCGCCCCACTGTGACTCGCAGACCGCCATGATCGAGGACGCCAGCTCTGAGCCCCAGAGCCCCTGCACCCAGCTGCAGCCGGCCGCCCCTGCAGCCCCCCCCTACGTCGTGTCCCCCTCCGTGCCCATCCCACTGCTGACCCGTGTGAAGCATGAAGCCATGGAGCTGCCGCCGGCCGCCGGCCCGGGCCTGGCCCCCAAGCGCCCGCTGGAGACGGGGCCCCGGGATGGCACAGCGGTGGTGGGCGCCACGGTGGCGGGCGCAGCCCCTCTCAAGCTGCCCCGGGTCTCCTACTACGGGGTGCCCAGCCTGGCCACCCTCATCCCCAGCATCCAGCAGGTGCCCTACTCCCAGGGGGAGCGGACCAGCCCGGGGGCCAGCAGCCTGCCCACCACCGACAGCCCCACGTCTTACCACAACGAGGAGGATGAGGAGGATGACGATGCGTACGACACCATGGTGGAGGAGCAGTACGGCCAGATGTACATCAAGGCTACTGGCAGCTACGCAGGTAATGCGCCGTGCGGGCCTGGCCCCGGGTCCCAACCACGCCACCCGCCCGTGCGTGTGGGCGCGCCCCCAGGCCCTGTGGGTACCGAGGCGAGCCTGACCTCAGCCCCAAGGCACCGGCAGCCTGGCCATGGCCGCTCGGGGAGGCCGCTGTGCCAGGGAGTGCAGGGGGTGGTCCCCAACCTAGGCTGGCTGAGCTAGAGGGGCAGGGCCTTGGCTGAGGACCGGCCGCTTAACGCTGGGTGGAAACCCCCCCAGGAATCCGCAGCCTGTGGGACGGGGCCTGCTCTTGCACGGGTCACAGAGGACACTGAGGGCCTCAGTGGCCCAGGGGCCTGCCCGAGGGCTCACAGGGTAGTGTGCGACCCACCTGCTCAAGACCTTAGTGACCCGGTGTGGCCCAGTCTGCCTGACCTTCGACCTCAGCCCTTCCCTGTGACTGTCAGTGAGGCCAGAGACTCCCCCATACCTGGTTCATGTCCCTCCACCTCCCTGGGTCCAGCGCTGAGGGACATGCCGGAAAGTGCTTGTTGAACTGAATGAGCTGCCCCCCGTTATTTGTGAGGGGTCCCCCACTGGGGGCCTGCACACCTGAGATGCCCCCACTTAACATGGTGTTACAGGTCGCATCCCCGTCTCTGGAGACCATTCAGGGTCTGCTAGGTAGAGGGTCCAGTAGTTGGGGTCCCGGATCGGGTGTCCACCTGCCTTCCATGTTCCCCGAAAACTGGCTGTGCGCCTGGGCCTGCTGCCTGCTCGTTTGCATGCAGGGCCCGTGCCCAGTGCATTGGCTCTGGACACATGGTGCTAGAGGGAAGTGACGTCCCAGAACTGGGGCCCCCAAGGGGCAGTGTGGTGACTCTTTCCTCCCCTCTGTTCCCCTATGTCCTGGTGCCCTGATGGGGCAGATGCTGCCCCCCCCATCTACTCCACCTCCAGGCCCGTACTGGTCGATCCGACCAGCTGGGGCCCTTGGGATGGCCACTCCCCGAGAGCAGCCAAGGACTAGATGGTATGGCCAAGTCGGGGGGAGCAGGGAGGCTCTGCCTGGGGCGCCCGCCTGCCCTCAGGGGCTGTGAGTGAATGATTTTTCCCTAGAGCTCATTATTTGAATGTACGTGGTCATATTGAGTGACTTCCACAGGACATGAGCATGAAGACCACGTTGATCTGGACTTGGTTCTTCTTGGAGTGGCAGAGGGAAAGCCTTGCTGTCCTGATACCAGGAAACCTGCAGGCTCTGGCTTGGCCCTTCAGAGGGCCCACTGGGCTTGGGCCTTACGGGGGCCTCTGGGAACGTGCCCCGTATGGAGTTTCCTCCGCCCACTGCTGACGGCCACCTCCGGACCCGGGGAAGGGCCACGTGGAGCCCCAGACCCAGCCAGAGGGAGCTGGAATCTGCCAAGGGTCCAGGGGCAGGGGCCGTCCACCAGTGGCCCACAGTGGGACACCGGAGCTGGGAGAGAACCCCAGCCTCCAGACGTCTCCATCCAGTGTGGCCATGAGCCTTGGCAGGAGTGGGAAGCTGAGAAATGGGATGAGGTGTTGGGATTGCTGGGTGCAGGTGCAGTGCCATAGCCCATCTGAGTACACCTGCCCATCCGGCCGGACGAGTCCGGGGCCCTCTCCCGACCTGGATAGTGGCCTCTCTGTGTCCTTGGGTTTTCCAAGGAGCCGGTGGGACAGTGGCCATGGAAAGGCCAGGGTAGGGGTTGGAGGCGGAGCTGCCCGGGGCTGCCCCTCTGCCTTGACCGTGACCCAGCTTTTCTCGCCAGTCCCCCGCCCTGAACCCCCCCCAGCGCTCACACGAGATGCCAAGGGCAGAGGCCTGGCCCAGGGCCGTGTGCCTGCAGGGGTCACCCATCCATCAGCATCCCTTACCTCCTTCTCCTGGGGGTGTTGGAGGGAGGATGGGAAACGGGAGAGGACGGTGGGCGCGGGAGGGCGGGGCTTGGGGCCGGCTTGGGGTGCTACAGTCTGGGTTTTCTCCTCGGTGAGACCATAAGTGGGGCAGGGAGGGGGGGTGTGATTTCTTGGTTAAAATCTAGGTTATTGGCAGTGACGTCGCTGGCATCACTGGGCGCCGGGCGAGCTGGGAAGAGGGTTGTGGGGGAGGGGGTCGTGGGGGCAAGCAGGCAGAGAGAGGGGCCTGCCCTCAGAGGCTGCCTGCCTGCACCCCGGGCTCCCTCTGCACACTGGCTTGGCCAGGTTGGGGGACATCCTAACAGCCTCCCGGGTCGCTGAGCAGCCTGCTGCCTCCAGTCTGGGGCCTGGACACGGGTTGGGCAGGCCCGTCTTTGAGCTGGTGGAGTGTGTTCCAAGGTGCCCCCCTGCCATATAAGGACATGCGGGAGTCCCTCCTTCTTCCTGGCCTGTTTTCCCCACCTGTCAAGGGAGAGGTGGGCCCGAGTGACCTTCAAGGGTCTTGACCATCACCGTCTGTGTAGGAAGGTGTGGGACGCCACCGGGGTGCCCCCCATCTCCACCCTCCACCTTGTGAAGAACCATTAGTAGCTCCTGGGTGTGAGTCTCTTGTTTTGGAAATCAAGGAGTTAAACATGACAGATGAGGTTAGTTGGCCGTCCCTGGTGGTCCCACTGTGTTCCCGCAGGGCCTGTGTCCCCGTGTCTCCTGCACCTCCTTGTCCATTGTCCTTTGGGCGGAGACACCATAGCTGATTTATCTAGTCCCCGAGGACACTGGGGTTGTTTCTGATTTGTTGCTCTTAGGACTAAGTGACCAGGAAGGTGCTGAGTAGGGGCAGCAGGTGTCGATAGGGCGGGTCAGGCTCCCTCCCCTCTCTCCACAGCTCCTGGCTTGGGGCGGGGTCTCCTCGGGGGCTCAGGAGGCCCCTGCTCTAGGAGCGAGGCACCGCCCCGTCAAGGTGGTGGGGGTTGGTGTTGGTTTGGGGGTGGGCGGGGCACAGAGGGCAAACCAGTGTGGTGAGGGGTCTGCTCCCACAGGCCGTGAGCAGTGGTGGCCCAGACAGGGAGACAGACAGACAGCAAACAAGACCTTGAACAAGTATTTAATCTTGGCTGGGGGTTGTCCTGAGGCAGGATGGGCTGCCCCTGAACCCCCGGGAGTGACGCTCAGGGCCAGGGAGAGTGAGCTGACCAAGGGTGTGGTGGGAGGGGGCTCCCTCTGCCGTCTCTGCAGGTGGGGTGAGGCTGGCCTGAGGGGCCACCTTCTGTGCCTCTGCCCCACTGCCAGGCTCCTGTGGCGCCTTCTGCTGCAGGCCAGCCCCTCCTTGGTGTGGGCAAATGTTGCTCCTGCTGATGTCAGAGACAGAGGCACCCCGAGCCGGGCACTTCCACCTTCACCTGCTCCCGGGAGGGGACCCCTGTGGGCTGCTGTCCCGGGCTGTTTGGTGGCTGTGGGCCGCTGTCTCGGGGTGTGCGGTGGCCGTGGGCGCCGTCCCGGGGTGTGCGGTGGCCGTGGGCGCCGTCCCGGGGTGTGTGGTGGCCGTGGGCGCCATCCCGGGGTGTGCGGTGGCCCTGCTCTGTCTTGCTCCCGCTTCCCCCTGGGGGCCGGCTGGCTCCCCTGGGTCTGCCCATTGTCCCGACACCAGACACGGGTTGGGGTCCTGGCACGCGGCAGCACATCTGTTCCCGGCTCCGCCCACTGCGAGCAGTAGCTGCAGGTGGCCCCTGTGAGCTCCGGAAGGAGTGTGCGCGCTCTGCCCTGGACCAGGCCCTGTGCAGCATCACCCACGAGGTCGGTGCTGTGTCGACCGCAGCTGTCCACCCCTCCACCCCTCCACCCCTCCCCTGCCTGTCGGCCACTCCCACCTGCAGCCCAACTGCCTCTTGGGGGTCTCATAGAGAAGGGGAGAGGTGAGGTTTGTTCTGCAAATCCTAATCCCAAGCAGCTCTCACAGCTTCCCGGCGGGGGTGTCTACACTGCTGGAGCTCAGCCCCACCGCTGGGAGGGCCCAGGGAGCAGCAGGGGCTTTTTGTCCCTGGCCTGGCGAGGGTGGGGCCCAAGCAGAGGTGGGGTGGGCTTCCTCCCTTTGAAGGCAGCACAAGGGAGGTGCCGGCCCTGGTGTGCCCCACCCTTGCTGGCCCTGGGGTGTTGGGAGGCCCGGCAGTGCACTCCACCTGCGGTTTGGGGCTCGTTCCCAAGAGCCTCCGGGGTGGCCTCCCTGGCTCCCCGGTCCTCAGTGTCTCCTGTCTCAGGTAGAGGACAAAGCACGTCGTGCGACCTCACGTGTAACCTTCCACCCCGAGGACTCCGGGGTTTCCTCCTACGGCTGTTCCTGAGGTCTCACTTCTGTGCCTCTGGGAAATGGGTGTGAAAGGCCCCTGAGTCTGGGCTGTGACAGCAGAGCACGGTCACCCACCCGCCCCCCACAGGCTCCCAGCTGCCCTCTGTCCCTTGGGATGTGTTTGCCCGTTCTGGAACATCAGGTGAGCCATTGTGCGCTACGAGCTCCCGCTTCCCTTGTTGGCAGAATGCGCGAGGGGCTCGTCTGTGCTGCGTGGGTCAGGCCCTCGGTTCCGTCCCCTGCTCTAGTGCTTAGTCAACCATTTCTATGCAGTAAACCAGGCCCGTTCCAAGGGTGATGAGTCTGGTGGTTGGAATCAGTCCACTACCACGGTCAAAGCGGCACAAGAGACAGAACAGTCTACCTCCCGCAGTGTGTCCTGGGTCCTCCTGGCCCCCAGCAGCCCCCCCACCCCGCCTTTCTGTCCCTGCCGCCTTGCCTTTTCTAGAATCTTGGAAATGGCATCGTACTGAACAGAGTCTTTCCTTTTTCTTGCCATGTTTTGCATGTCACGCATGTGGCATTGGTCCTCGGTCGCCTTGGTCGCAGCTGTGGACGTGGCCCCCGGTGGCAGATGTGTGGGTGGCCTCTGGAGGGGGGCTGTGATCATCAGGCGGCTGCGAACATCCACGTGCCTGTGGGACTGCCGGGTCACATGAGGAGCGCGTGAGTCGCGCCCTACTGCTGCATGGTTCGCTGGTCTTCCGAGAGTTGTTTTTTGTCATGAATGATTT